TACCTCACACCAACTAGCTAAGCTTTTAATGTCATTCTGTAACAAAGAGGCATCAACTAGGTCATTAACTATTCGAAATATTTTAAGGTCATCAGCAAACATTAGAAATTTACTATTTTTAATCACTGAGGATATATCATTAACAAATATATTAAATAAGAAAAACCCAATATGGAACTCCTGAGGTTACAGATACTCGTTGAGATAAACAATTTCCATATTTAACATACTGACATCTACCAGATATATAACTACCTATCCACTCAATTATTTTACCTCCAAATCCATAGCCATTTAATTTAGCAATAAGCAGATCATGGTCAACTCTATCGAAGGCTTTTGAGAAGTCTGTGTAGATAGCGTCAACCTGACCCTTCTGTTCCACTGAATTAGCTATAAAATTCGTATACAATATTAAGTTCGTGCATGTAGACTTACCTTTAGAAAAGCCATCTTGTCTAACATCAATTAAATCTTTACAATTCCATGTCAAAAATTATTTACAAGACTCTCAAAAAGTTTGGGTAATACAGATTGGTTACAAACCGCTCGATAATTTTCAACATCATTTTTATTACCGGACTTGAAAATTGGTGTTAAATAACTAGTCTTCCAAAGATCAGGAAAGATGCCGGTACTCAATGAAGAATTAAATAAGTAGCAGATAGGTTTTACAAGAGTAAAAATGCAATGCTTGAGAACAAAAGCTGGCAAACAATCTGGTCCAAGCGATAATTTCCAAGGCATCTTTAAAACACTATCAATTATGTCAGAGACCTCAATACTATAATTATTCACATTTACACTCTGCTGATAGTTAAAAATTGGGATCTGATTAATTTTAGAATTAGAATATGTAGTTGAGAAAAACTTAGCAAATAGATTAACTACGTCTTGAGCATTATCACTTTTACTCACCGTAGAACATATTAGATGGCAGATTATAACTTTTACGTTTATTATTGATATACTTCTAAAAATGTCGAGGATTAGATAGAATCCCATTCTCAATATTATTCAAATAGTTACTAGAACATTGAGAGGAGACTTGATTATATTCATTTCTTAACTGAGAAAATCTTAAATAATCATCCCTTCTACCAAATAATTTAAACTAATTCGGCATCGCTATATTCACAAGTTAACCAAGTTTCCACCAAAATAATTATATGATAATTACATTGAGCTATGGCAATTTACAGAGACTTTAGTTTTGTTCTTAATCCACCATTTTGATAATAAATTGATAACGGAAGTGCGCTTATATGTTTCGTTGTGTCTAGTTTTTTTGTGTAGAATTATCATTTTTGCAAATTTCAGGTATAACTTTAATATATCGTATAAATAAATCTTTCTCACCTTGTCCTTGGCGTTTTTTGAGGTTCTCTTTAACTTCATTGAGTTTGTTGAGTTGCTGAGGGGGTAAATCAGAATTTATAAATATCTTTCTTGCTTTGGCAAAGTGAATTTTATTTTTTAAAATATTCTTTACATCAAAAGTATTTGTTAATACAATTTTTAGGGAACGAGCACCATTTTTGTTTTTCTTACCAAATCTAACATCTTTGACAACTTTAATATCCTCTTGAGTAATATCCTTGAAAATTGAGGTCACAGTAGCCAAATCATCAGAAGCAGCATTTCTTCTATCCACAGATTCACCTAGATTATGAATGATTAAGTTGTTCATTCTCTTTTGTCTTTCAAATACCTCACTTACAATATCCTCTTCTTGGTTTTTAGAATTCTGCAATTTCATATCATTAACCTCATTCTGCAGTTTTTCAATTAATTTGAACAGTTTTGGAACAAGTTTTATTCCAGATTTACACTCTTGGCACAAAAACTGTAGAACACGATTCTTCTTTACCTCCATAATCTTAGTGTCTGATGCACACAGACCAGAACAATAAGTATCTTTGTGAACTGGTCGGTCACAGCTATCACAATAAAGCATTTCTTCTTCAGTACCATCTTTCTTGCATTCCATACACTTCATTTTCTAAATTAAAATTTGAAAGCCGGTCCTGTACACTAATGAGCTTTATCAATTATTGCCTACAGATAATGGACAGTTTTCTCGAGATTTGTAAATTATTTGTAAATTTACAAGAAAGCTACAATGAAAATACAAATAGATGCGAAAACCAAAGCTATACCAATCAACAGAGGAGTTCACTAGGGAGATGTTATCTCAAAAAAGCTATTCACACTTGGACTGGAAGACGTGTTCAAAGATATTAACTGGGTAGATAAAGGAATAAACGTTAATGGAAGAAAACTGAGTCATTTGAGAAATGTCATCAGCGTATCTCATGTGAGTGCGCCACAGAAGATACATGCGTTTCCTTTAAAATTTCGGTGTTCGATCAAGCACTTCTAATGCTTTCTTTCTAGACATTGTATATTCGCCCCATATGATAATTTGATACGTTTGGAGTATTTTTCCCATTCTAGCGTTTTTGTTGATGTATCATGTTGGTGCCTCAATATTTTGCAAATTCAATGGCAGTTTAAATGCTGAATGCGCTGTTCGGACACCATCCAGAAGGGTTGTCGCAATTCCAGATGATGCAATATTATTTTGTGATCGTATGGTTGACAAAATAGCTGAAAGAAGAAAAATCTTGTCTGTACCACTTGAATGTATTTCTGGCAGTTTTTTTCCACTGGCGCAGCACATTCCTTGCGTTTCGTTCTTAAATTTGAGGTCGCTAAAACACATGCAAATTTTATGCACTTTTCCAATGACATTTGAATGAAGACTGTCATTTTTACTGTCATAATGATATGCGTTAAGATTTAAAACAGAGTGCAGTATTCGTCTTAATCGAGCGGTGCTTATTCGAATATTTTGCAGCCTTCTTTCCAGTTGTTCAGTGGTCTCAGACTAACGGGCCTGACTAGTAAATATTCGATCAGTTTCTAACCTCACTTCTCGTTGTTCAGATAATTCAGACGAACGGGTCTCAGCAGCATGTACTCGAAGATTTTCCAACCTTGCATACACAAAATTGCACGAGAACGACGAATATGCGTTTGAATTTATTCGAACAACAATTATTAAACACAATAAAAGTAGAACTAACCGACCCTATTGAAGCTGGCAACGGGATAAGATAGGGAGATTCCCTAAGTCCTCTATTGTTCAACCTGATTATGGATGAACTAATAGAAAAAGTAAGAACTAAAAAAGCAATACTACTCTCTCAAAGTGAAGATAATTTACAACGTATGCTGCACCAATTTAATATAACCACCAGAAAATGTAACATGTTAATTTTCCCAAAAAAGACAAAATGCATGGTTACAACAGCAACTTTACTAAGATGTAAATGGGAGCTGGAAGCTCAGATAATAGAACAAGTGATGGAGTTTAAATATCTAGGCATCACATTATCTAGCTACGGAAAGTTCGAAACTGAAGTGGAAGATCAAGTGAATAGAGCAAACAGAGCCGTAGGTTGCCTGATTGAAACCGTATGGAGAAATAAAAATATCGGGAAAGAAACGAAAGGCAGAATTTACAAAACAGTCATCAGACCAATAATGATATACGCGGCAGAAATAATATCTGACACAGAGAGGACAAAAGGGATGTTAGGAACAGCAGAGATGAAAACACTTTAAAAAATTGATGGTAAGACACTATGGGACTGAGTTAGAGAGTTAGAAGTATAGATATACGACATAGATGCAAGGATGAGAACATAAAAAACTATGTAAGAAATAGAATGGAACGATCATATAAGCCGAATGACAACAAATAGAGTAAAGACGGCAAGAGACGGTTCCCCAATAGAAAGACGATCAGTAGGAAGACCACGAAAACGATGGAATGACAATTTACTGAGGCACATATAAATAAAAAGAAGATTTATTAGATGTCAATCAGCAATCCGAATCTCATTTCTATCCAATCCCATTAAACTGACTAATTATACACGGATGGAAATAATATTGACGGTGATCACCAATTTGCCGAGGAACCCCCTCTGTGGCTCAGTGGTAAGAGCGCCTACCTTTTAAACCTAAAGGTCGCGAGTTCTAATCTCATCAGGGTGGAGATATTTTCGTTTATTAAAAATTAATGAATGAAAATAATTTCTATCCTTGTGCGATCGGTACTCACCGGAGGGACCGCAGACGTTCGGATACAATTAGCGTCTCTTAGCAAAAACAATGACGTCGACTTTGCTAAGTATCAAGACAATTACTCTACACACACACACACACACACACACACACACACACACACACACACACACAACACACACACACACACACACACACACACACACAAACACACACACACACACACACACTACACTAGGTACCTGACTGTACCATGCCAATGATCATTAGTTGTCGAGGCATTAACTCAATAAAAAAAATGCCGAGGAAAATTAGAAGTAAAAAAAATCATTATTCGAGAATTGTTGAAATGCCCAAAACTATTAGAAAAATGCTCTCAAATATAAAAATACACAATGCACAATATTGCCTGTTCAATGTGATCTGGACATGAATTGTGAATACATAAATTCTTGTCACCCACAACTCGAAATATCATCATTCGCTCGTTGTTTTCGTTTCAGTTCAAAGCATCAGGAACTGTCACGACAATATATAAAATTCATTGGAATTACAGTGGCGTCATCTGTCGAAAATTGATCGTACCAAATTAGAAAAAAAAACCAATGTTTTAATTTCTTAGGCACAAATACACAGGAATTAGAAATATTTTCTAAGCCCCTCCCATTGTAACGTTAGACCTGGGTAATCTATAAAACTGAATGCATGTGGGTGCTCCTGTACGGAGGATACTTACTCATTTGTATGTGTATGTGCTGTCATTAAATCGTCAAAGAGGAGATAGTCTGGTGAGCGGGATTGTACGCTTTCACTATGCCGCAATTTATCTAGAAATGCACCATAAAGACAAGGATAGGGTTAGGTTACTAAAAAAGCGTTTCACAAAATAAACAATAAAACAAAAGTTAATTTTTTAATTTAGTTTTAGTAGATTTCATAGAATCGAGAACATGCGCATACTGTCTTTGACTTTTAGTAAGAATTACCAATGAATCTAATTGTACATTATTTGCTTCTATTTCTTGAAGTCTTTTTTTAATAGTATTTACACTGTGTAGTAATATTTTGGGCGTCCTACAAATATGAATAGGTTTAAAACCTTTCTGTAATAAAAAATCTATAATATCGTTCATTTTCTTTAAACTTTTCTTCTGCAGCGCAGGTTGTTTTAAAATTAGATACTTTGACACATCTTGCGAACATTCCAACTTTTCGGATAAGTATTCTGCTAAAGATGCTTTCTCTCCTAAAATTTCTTTATTATCGGATCGTCTTCTGACGTAACTAAAAAAAGAGTTAAACAAATGATAAACTGATATATTATGTGTACTGCTTTACATAAAATGCAGAACTAAAGTACCTATAAGAGTATTATATAAGAGTATATATATATATATATATATATATATATATATATATATATATATATATATATATATATATTTTTTTTTTTTTTGAAGATAATGTCTTCATGTTTGGTGTTTCCGAATACGTAATTTGTGACAATGCTCATAACTTTACCGGTCTCCCTTTGAAGAATCTCTGTGAGAGAGATATAAAGTCCGTAAAATATGGTACAGTACGGTTTATTCACCGCAATGCAATTTCGTGGAGCGAACCAATAAAACCATTGGTGTCGCAATTCGGTCATATGTAGATGAGCACCGCGACTGGCACAAAAATTTGTGGAAGATTCGACAGGCACTAAATACTGCGAAAAACGAAGTAACGGGCTACACGCCATGCTTTTTAAATTTCCCCCGCCACGTCCCGATTTCCGGCAACTACTACCAGTCCCAGATCCCTGCTGATCATGACTTCGAGATAGTACCAGGAGATCGTCAAGCTTATGCCGCTACCGTAAAGGGTCTTTCCGAAGTTTTTCCGTGAGTTCGACAAGGACTGCACAAGGCATATACGAGGAATGCGAACGCTTACAATATGCGGAGACGCCCCATCCAATTTTCAGTCGGCGATACCGTGTGGAAGAGAAACGTAGTGCATTCGAACTCCGCTAAGAATTTCATGTCCAAACTGACTCCCAAATTCGTTATGTGTAAGGTGGTTAGGAAATTATCGCCTGTGGGTACGAACTGAGCAATTTTGAAGGTGTCAATATAGGAAAATGGCACATCAAGGACCTTAAAGAATTCTATTCCCCTGACGATATAGTAGATAACACATCAGATACCGAAGCAGACGAGTGAACTGCACGAGGATAGGTTAGGGTGGTACTAGAATCCCACTCGCCGAGGGTCCTGTGGTTTTACCGCGTCAATACGATATTTTGTCCGATGCTGTAGTTATATCTAATTCCTTTTGCCTGTTGCCTTAACGGCACACTTTTAGCAAACTTATTCGAAGTTTACCGTTACGTTTACGTTTACCGAATGTTTCTTTTTTATATCGTACCGTTACCGTCCGTTACGTTTACCGTCAATTGTCTATTTTCGTTACGTTATCGAGTTCTCGTATATGCCGTCCGTCACGATTACCTAGAAATCTTAGTAGTCTACACTTTTGGTTTTATCTATGATTTAACAAACAATTCCGTTACGTCTTGGTGTACCTACAGTCAGTTTCTGAGTTTTATTTGGTTATTACTTAGAAAAACTGGAGCGCCATTTTCCCTCTTGGGGAAGGGCTGTGTAGCAATTTTCAGTCCCCGACCTAAGATAGAAAATAATTATATTCTGAAAATTGTTAAACTGGTTGCATACCTAGTAACTAGTGTATTCGTAACAATGACGTATAATATATAGACTCAGTGAACGCTTTAAAAGTGTCCAAAACATGAATACCTTTGTTATTGTTTATTGTTTTGATACGAAGATGCACGAAGTTCATGATTTCTTACGAAGCATCACGAAGTTGATCTTGTGTTTGAAAACATCATGGACGTATGAAAACATTTTCTCCATTTTGTGTGACAAGCAAATTTTATTTTAAATTGTTAAGGGTTATTTACTTACTATTTTAGTAAAATGCCATACTATTTTATCAAAATAATTATTTCTCTTATAGACGGGAACAAAAAGAAATCATAAATATTTAATTTTAATTAAAAAAATAATTATTGTCATTAACATATCAATGAGCACGCCACTGTTCTGATAAACATACCTTCAACCTTGAGCCGAGATCTTTCGGACACTCGATTCTATAGCGAGAATAGGGGACTGCGTAGTGTATATATTATACGTCATTGATTCGTAACCTTCTGTAAATGATAACGAAAAAGAAGACGACGTGGAATTGACAGAAGGAGACGGATGACGTATTTCCGGAAGAGAGGTTACTTCGTTACTTGACGTCAATGACGTCTGACAACAGCGGGTGAAGTACAGAAAATTGTAGTGTGACAAAAAATAATAAGAATTCTGACTTTATCTTGGCCATCAGTGCCGATTATTGAAAAATAATTAAGTAATGTGCCTTACCGAATTATTTAAGTTATTCGTTACAAGGTTTATTTGTGTGATTACAAATAGTTCACGTGTTGTAAGTTTTTGTGAATAAAATTGGAGATATTTCAGTTATCAGCGGTTAATTCACAACAAAAACATATACTGTTTTGATGTTAGTACACTTCGAGAGTCCATAGTGTTTCAATAGTGAGAAAAGCAGATCTATCAGTGTTGTTTCTTTTGCCAAGCGACTTCTGATTGTGCATTGTCTTACTGAATAATAGTTCGTGGGGATTGTTAGTACTCCAGAGCCAAGGTAACAGCTTTCTTTATTACCCCTATACAGATGACAAAGTTCAAGTAATTGAGGAACTTTTCCAACATCGGTAATTATTTAATAAGCCGGAACGCCTTAAAAATGCCCAATTTTTTGTGGACTTAGCCGAAAAAGTGAGAAAAACCTCAAATTTTAATGTTTTCTTTGCTTTAAACTATTAAAAGTGCTCAAATAATAAAAAAAAATAAAAAATGCTAAAAAAAGTATTATGAACAAAAAAAAAATTAAATAAAAAGCAAAGAAAAGTATATATACATGTCCTTATAAAAAAAAACGCAACTAAAACATATTAAATATCACTGTTTTTTACTGTAAAATTATAAAAAAATGCATAAAATTGTTTAAAATAATCAAGATTTTTAATATTTCAAAACAATGTGGCGGCCATGTGCAAGAAGTTAAATTTTATGTACATTTGACGTTGTTGCCAGTTTTAACATTTAAAATACCTAAATTTTAAAATTTAATAAAAATTACTTACCTTAAATAACAGGTAGATAAAATCCTAATAACTAGGTGGATATAACGATGCGGCAGCGGTAAAGAATGCATGCATTCTCTCCTTATCGAGAAATCTTTTGAAGTAGAATTCTGCAAGGTACCATTTTGTCTTTTATAATTCCGTGTTTAATCATAAAATCTAATGCACTATCCTGATTTAAGCACAATCCGAAACTTTCTGTAAATCTTAATTCGCAACCACCATACTCCGTCACTCCATTTTGTCTTTCTTTAGTAACGAAAACGAACACGAAAAGACAAGAAATGAGTTGAAAATGCCACACCTATTCCCACCAATATTTTAAACACAATTGCCAAATTTAGATGTTTGTAAAAACATTGCAAATCAAAAGTACACTTTAATGCAAAATGTATCATATTTTCGTATGAAATTATCATTTATCGTCTAGACGGCAATGCATGTATGTAAAAAATTTCATCCATTCGATTAAGGTCGGGTATTTTCGTTTTGGTATTGCGCGGTATAAAAAAATATAGATAATTCCGAGATTGACAACTAACCGTTAAAAGTCTGTCTGGGAATCCCCCAATATTTATTAGCATCAATTTTTTATTTTTCATAAGAAAACATGACAATAAACGTAAAGAAACGTAACCAAATCTAACCTGACCCTTGTAAAAAAGCTATAATTTTCATTTAAACGTAGGTAGATAATAATAAAATGTTATTTTAGTGTCCAATATGAAAGTAAATATTTATTTTTCATTAGAAAACATAATTTTGAGTAACTAACGGCAACTGGTTAAAATTACCATTTTTGACCATAAGAAACAGTTGTCATTCCTGTCATTTCTTGTTGTTTCATGCTAAATAATGGCGAATAATGGCGGTGGCTTTTAAAAATCGGGCATATTTTAAATGGAAATTACATAAAAAATAACGTCTTGCACCGCATAAAAATCATTGCACAATCATTAGTAAGTGAAGCAGAATTCATTGATATAAATTTCATCTTCGTAAACATGGTTCCGGCTTATTACACTAGTACCCAAAAAACTTACATACTGACATTTTTCTTTCCGTTTTAAGTTTTTTTTTAGTTTTTATAATTCTTAATAAGATAGATGTACTACGGGGATTCCCGACTGATGCACCGGTAGATATGTTATGATACCGGTTTTAATCAGTACCAAAGATTTTATGTTTGATTATTTGTTTATATAATGACTATCCATTTTATGTCTATGTCGATATGATTTTTATGTTTATGACGATACGAATTTATGTTTATGTTGCGTTGTGAATATTTCTTAGTGGATTACAGTGCGCATTGAGTGTCCAACTTAGAACTGACATTTTTTATATTTTTTTTTGTTTGCGCTAAATAAATGATTGTCAATACTCTCCATTTTCTTAAATCACCTGATTCACAACTGTCAATTTTCATACCGTATATATTTACATATTTAAATAACACAAGTGTTTGGATAATCGTACCTTTTCGGCTCTTACCGACAAATTCCTACGCAGGTAGGTGGCGCCCAACATTTTTTTGTCGTTTTGTTTTGTAAATTTATGAAACCTCTCTAGCTACGACACTGCACACCGCCTCTGATATAGATCCATGACCCCTCCGAGTACTTTAATGAGCAACGGTGCATTATAACCCATATGTCGGAACCTTTAGGTTGTTGCCTCTTAATTGGCACCCAAGGTTGCTGCAATCTGAATCCTGTTAACAGGAGAGAATTTGCCTTAGATAGTGTGATAGTGTTTTATAGAAAACAAAGGCATGTCTCTAAGAATTCTAGTGTTACATCTAAAGTTGATAAGACTTAATAAATCAGAACAGTCAGTGGTATGGTCTAGTAGTTTATGGAGAGAAACTAGATCACATTTAGTTCTGTAGTCTTCTAAGGAACTGATATTTAGCCTTGACCTTAGTTCTACCGAAGACATGTTCCTTAAGTTTAATCTATAAGCACAAATCCGGAGAAACTTATTTTGAATTTTTTCAAAGGTATGAATATTGTTAAAATAGTATGGTGACGATACTATAGAAGCGTAAGAAAGGATGCTACGGACGAAAGTAAGATATAAAATTCTATATGTGGGTACTGAAAGATCTCGAGAGTTTCTTGTGATAAAACCTAGATTTCGGTAGGGTTTAATTGACAAATTGTTGATGTGGGGGATAAATGACAATGAACTGTCAAATAACACTCCCAAATATTTTATTTCAGTCACTCTTGATAGAAGGCCTGTATTAATGTAATAGTCAAACACAACATTATTTTTAGATTTGCTAAAGGATATAACAAAACTTCTTCTTCTTTGGGTGCCGTGTACGTATTCAGACGTTGGCCGTCATCATGTTTACAATTTCCTCAAACCTTTCTCTGTCGGCTGCTGCGCGAAATAATTCTTCTACTGTGGAACCACACCATTGTCTAATATTACGCAGCCATGACAGTTTCTTTCGACCAATCCATCTCTTTCCTTCCACTTTTCCTTGTATTATAAGGCGAAGTAAATGGTATTTAGGTCCTCTAATTATATGGCCGAAGTATTCTGTTTTTTTCCTCTTTATGGTGTTTATGAGCAGACGTTCTGAATTGATCATTTGAAGAACATCTTCATTGGAAGGGTGCGAAACGCACGATATCTTTAGGATTCGTCTATAGCACCACAATTCGAATGCTTGTGACAGGTTTCTGTTACATAAAACTGGTTTCCAGGTCATAAAAGCCTTACGTGATATTTCGATCCTGGATATTATCTCTTCATCAGAGTCACAATTTACATTTATCCAGCTGCCAAGGTATTTGAAATGATTTACCCTTTCTATCTCTTCTCCATTAAGAGAAAGCAGACCTTGATCTATATGGATCTTTCCAACTGCCATCCACTTTGTCTTTGAAATGTTGATTTTTAGGCCTCTCCGATAACTTGCTTCACTGACTAGATTTAGTAATGTTTGGTCATCTTGTAAACTTTCTGCAAGAATGACTGTATCGTCAGCGTATCTAATATTGTTGATTACTTCTCCACCTACTCTTACTCCCTCTTGTCTGTCATCCAAAGCCTCCCTAAAGATTTCTTCAGAGTACAGATTAAAAAGCGTGGGTGACAAAACACAACCCTGCCGTACTCCACGTTTGATGGGTATTTTTCAGTGGGACTGTCTCCAATTTGGATAGAGGCTACTTGATTGTAATATAAGTATTTCAGCAGTCTTATATCATAGTGGTCAAGTCCTGCTGCCCGTAGGCAGTCGAAAAGTGTATTGTGTTGGACTTTGTCGAACGCCTTCTCGAAGTCGATGAAACAAACATAAACATTCTTTCGGAATTCACAACTTTTTTGTAATAGAACGCGCATACAGAATAGTGCCTCTCTAGTTCCTAGACCGTTTCTAAATCCAAATTGTTTATCACCCATCTTACTTTCGCATAGAAAGAATACTCGGTTTTGTATAATTCGTAAGAGTATCTTCAGTGTGTGACTCATCAAACTGATTAGTCTAAAATCGCTGCATTTGGTGGGCCTGCTTTTCTTTGGTAATGTTATAAACAGTGACTCTAATCAATCATCTGGTATTTTTCCTTCGTTGTAAATTTTGTTGAAGAAAGTGGTTAAGCAGGCAATGCTTTCCTCATCCAAAAGTTTAAGTAGTTCGGCAGGGATTTGATCTGGTCCAGGTGCTTTATTGTTTTTGGCTTGCTGTATTGCCTTTTCGACTTCCGAATTCAGTATATTGGGACCTCTGTCCAACTGGTTGTCACAGGCAGTATTTGGAGCATTTTCTATATTTTCTATATAACAAAACACTTATCTTTATTTAACTGAAGACCATTGGAAAGAGACCAATTATACACAGAAGTAAGGTCTTCCTGGATCCTTAGATAATCAGATAGATTTAAAACTTTAAAATATAACTTTAAGTCATCAGCAAATAGCAAAAACTGACAAACCTTTACTACCTCAGAAATATCATTAATAAACAAATTAAAGAGAAGAGGACCCACATGTGAACCTTATGGGACCCCTGAACTGACCAAGATAGAAATTGAAAGTGAACCCTTTATAAAAACAAACTGAATTCTTTCATCAAGATAACTATGAACCATGAAAGAAACCACTCAGGAAAGCCAATACATCTTAATTTAAAGATGAGTAAAGAATGGATTACTGTGTCAAATGCCTTCGAGAAATCAGTATATAGATGGAGTCTACTTGGTACCCATCCTCAAAAGCCCTAATAATGTAATCATGATACAAAACAAGATTAGTAGATGTAGATTTACCCTGCCTAAATCCATGTTGCTCATTTATCAAGAGATTCCTACAATGCAAAGTAAGATATTTGTTTAGAATTAGTACAAAAAGTTTAGGGATGGCAGATAACATAACAACAGGCCTATAATTTTTTATATTGTCTCTGTCACCGTTTTTAATACAGGAGTTATTTAACTGTCACGCCACTTACCTTACTAGGCAAGGTGTGTAGTCTCAAAGATAAATTAAATAATACATGTAAAGGTTTGGATAGACTGTAGACACATCTTTTTAAGAAATATGTAGGAATATTACCAGGGGCATAACTTAGTTATCCTTTAGACCATTTATAGAGTCAAAGACTTCAGAAAGTGAAAATTGGATAAATATAATGTCAACAGAATTTTTTACTTTAAAATTAAAGATACTTAAATTAACTTCGTCTGAGCGATAGACACTAGAGAAATGGCTCACAAACAAGTTTGCTAGTGCCTCACTTGATTCAGCTAACAAGTCATTAAAAGCATGACATTTGGAATTTCTTAGCTTTGTCAGCTGAGTGAATAGATTCCTCAATGTTGGAGATATAAGATCTGTAACATTGAACTGTTAATGTTTTGCATTGCGTTCTAAGATCCGAAAATAAGGTATAATCAGCTGCTAACTGAGTATGTTTGAATCTAGCATGAGCAGTTTTTTTTTAAATAACAAGTTTTTTTAAATCTGGAGAAAGCCAACGAGGAAATTTTGAAGGTTTATATGTTATAATATGTTATATTGCTTCAGAAAGAACTTCATAGAAATTATTTTCAGAGATATTAATATTTGAATAATCAAAAAACAATATTCCAGTCAACTGAAGAAAAATAATTATTTAGACCTACAAAATTTGCATTACGATAGTCAAAATATGTAGCATTATAATCTAATTGTTTAACATTGCCACTAAGATCACAAGTAATTGCCATATGATAAAAGTTATTGGAAAGCAAAGTGTCCACTGCCTCATACACTGACAGTTTCTGATAGTCTTCAATACTGTGGAAAATGAGATCCAAAAATACTCCACGTTGATTCAGTATAATATTTGATTGCCTCAGGTTCAGGTAAGAGAAGCATTTGCATATTACCTTTGCTGGATAGTTTTGTGGGCAGTCAACTAGCAAGCCCTCTTCATTTGAGTAAACCCAAGAAGCTAGTGGTAAATTGTAGTCGTCAAATATACAGGTACAATCTGGCCTATTGTTTTTAATAGTTTCAACTGCCTAGCAATGACTAAGGTAAATATCTTCTGATGAGTTTGGAGGAATGTACACTCCACCCAAGATAACTGATGCACATATATAATCCACTTGAAGAAATAGATGCTCAACATTATTAATGCCAGATTTAGCCAGATGCCATAGCCAAATTAGAAATCCTCCTCTAAGCTGCTTAGTGCTGGTTCTTAAGTTACGATCCAATCTGAAAATGTGGTAGCCAGAGTTTAACAATTCATTATCTGAATAATCTTGATTAAGCCAAGTTTCTACCAGAATGATGACATCATAGTTGCATTGGAAGATGGAGGTTCCAAGTTCATTGAGTCGAGTATGTATTCCTCCAAGATTCTGATAATATACAGACATAGTGTTTATTGCGATTGGTTTTTTGAAGTTTTTTTAGAAACTGTCGGAAGCCCCTTTGTAAATTTAATAATCAAGTCAGATTCTCCCTTCTGTTCTCGAGCATGCAACTCTGTCAAAACAGGCGGTTGTTGGATGTATCTCTCTCTAGCATATTAAACCTTCCCACACGCTCTCCCTCTCAAACAGAAAGTGACGCGGCTATACTTCCTTGATGTAATATTGAGACACAACTAACAGCGACAACAAAGATGGTATCATCACTTAGCTCTACAACCTGCTCAGTCTATGTTAATATAACGTCTATAGTCGGAAAATTTGTAATTAAAGGTGACTAATCTACAAATTGAACAAAGAGCTAACGGCAACCAATTCTTACCGGGGTCATGTAAAAAAATTTTATGTATAAAGGGGTTTACGTGTCAACAAATAAATAAAATATGAACTAAACCTACTTATCAAATATTTCACGCTGAGCTCTAACCATCCATGTTTTAATTCTATCAACATTATTTTCTTTAGCCATTCTGATTCTTTCTTCAACTGTATTAGCATTATAACGTAATACCCAAAGATCATTAATAATCTCTTCAAGGGTAACACCAGCCGCTAAAATATTTAAAAAATTACAATAGAAAAATTCAAATACAATTCAAAATACTAGTGCAAAAATTTACATACCCATCAAAACTTTTTTACATTTTTTAATGTTGTGCATATTGGCTGACATTAAAAATATCTTCTGTGACATCCACTTGCATACTTCATTCTCATCTACCTAAAAATATATAACATATGTTTTATGTTGATATTTCTTTTATTTTAATTTAAAGGAGTAAATTTTTAGACAGCAGCTAACTTATCATTTCTGATTTGAAGGACTATTAAAAAGTATTTGCAAAAGCTTTTTCAGTTAAATGCCTTAATCAAATTAACTTTGATGGTACACAAGGCAAATATCGAACACAGTATTTAATTAAATCTTGCCCAAGTACTTTCGATCACAAGATCATCCTCAGGGGCATTTCGTCAATTGTGGCCTATCCAGCAATAACCGAATGTCATACATGTAAACTGGGACATAACAAATACACTAAAGACAAACAAACACTTTAAAATTTAAATTGGAGAAGCTACATTTTTATATTATAGAAGCCGGAGACAGAATGATTAAGTTTTTCTTTGCAAATATTGCATACAGCCTTCTCACTGTTAATGTAGTTCTCAAAGTGATGCCATAAAAATACTAACATTTTTACGTGCAGACATGTTAAACACACAAACAATTAATACAGTAAATATTCAGTACTGACAGAATAAATTCACATTTACATTAGACAAAACACAAACTCCAAATAAAAATGACGCTTGCTGAATAATACAAAACATGAATCGGGGACACCCATGTGTTAATATTTCAAATTAAAAATAATCGATCATTGCAATATTCAGAAAGTCGAGCATAAAAGCTGCATCTTTTACAAATGAGCATTTTTTTAAAATAAAATTATAACTCTTATACTAGGTAAATCATTTTAACTAAGAAAAAGAAAAAAATTGAATATTTACAATAAATAAACCCTTTAACGAATTATCAATAAAGATTTGAAATCGATAATGCAGATCAATCGAAAATCGAAACTCATTCATCAATCAGAATACCTACATAGTTATTTTATTTTCAACGTCAATTGATCGCCTTGCTGTCTACCGTCTCAAAAGGGTTGGGATGTTATTTTTAGTGTTGTAGTAGTCTCTCAGATCAACTAATTGTCCTCGTCAATATGTTCATTGTTCCTCTGTTTACATCTACACAAAACATAGTTTTTGAATCAACCATGAACTAGTTGGCTTCTCAGTGAGAAACCATAGATTCGTTAATGACAAATAAAGTTTTGAATAAAACAGTTCTTTGATGAAATGCTCATTTCTATAGTGCCCAGGTATAGTGATTACAATCTTTTCTGCTTTCCATCACTCACAATTTTTCCATTTATCTATATTCTTTGATTTCTCATCCTTTATGCACTGTCTACTTCATTTGTCCAGAATCTTCCTTCTATCTATAGGGTTTCAACCTGTTATTATTTTTAATCCATCAGTTGCCAGTTCTTACATTTACTCCTATTTTATGTTTTCTAGTGATGTTCTGTTTTATTTCCTTATTTCTTTTTCTGGACACCTTGATTTCTTTGTTGCAGCTACATTACTTTTGTTTTTTTTATTTATGATCCAATTTTCTGCATTATATGTCGTAATACTTAAACTAATGTTTTACGCATCTGGGTCTCTCTTTTCCTGCTCATGTGTCTAGTCTACTAAGTAGATGGATATAATACTATTTTATATGGGATTAAACCACAATTTGATGTAATGAGAATTACATTTAATATAATGATTTCCAATCCAGAAATGTTTTAAAAAAAATATTTCAAATAATAAGTATTGAGGATTTAACCAGCAAAAAATATTTATAAACTGATTCAATTTATAAACATTTATTATCCTATACTTACATTATTTATTATTGTAGACATTGCCTGTATAACTAGTGGGATTATTTAGTGCTGGATTTAAGTTAAACTTTATTTTTATTCTTCTTTTGAAACATATTTTAGCTTAGTTATGATTATGCTAAATTTAAAATACAACAGAAAACATGCTTAAAATAATCCAAATGAAAATTTGGCAGAAACATGAGGTGAGGAAGAGTGACAAATTATCACAAAAGATATCATGAGTTCGAAAAGTATTCTAACAGAAGTTATTAGAAGACAACTCACCTGATAAATTTAAAAATGGAACCCTCATTGAATGCAGAAACATGCAAATGAACTTTGAGGATAGCCTATGGAAACTATGGAGAGCAATTGAAAATAGAAAGCAAAAGTCAACACAAAACAAAAAAAAAAAACTGAAAAAAAAATGATTGTTATATTATATCAAAATATGTTGTTTCTGATTATTAATTTTCTAAAATATTGAAATTTCTTGATGTTAGTTACCTGAAACATTGTTGCAAATTCATTTATTCTTTTTTCAGCAAGTTCATCAAAAACAAAAGTTTTTAACTTGGCATAATTAACTAAAAGTAAAGGGGCTGTTACATTGAAATTAAAAGGTAGCATTTTTAAAACCTCCAATTTTAAACTTAAGGATTGATCTGCTAAAATATTTGGATACATTTTAAAGTTTTCTACAGTGAGGTGATTGCTTAAACCTAATTTATAATTATTTTCTATGTCTTGTGGAGACACTTTGGAAAAAAGTGTGCTATTTGTCACTATGGTATGAGCTTTAATAGCACGTATGTTTAAAATATCCTGCAGCTTTTTCGATACTTCATTGTTGTTATTACTATCAACTTGTGTACTGGCCAGCCTTTTTATAGATAGTTGTGGTATAAAATGATAATTTTTAAATGGAAGTTGTAGAAACCTGAAAAGAAACGATTGATGTGCATTTGATATCCTTTGTCCACAGGACAAGTAGTTTAAAATATGTATACTGCTTTTCATTATTAAATGTGTCTTTCTAGTATAAAAATAACACCAAAAAATATCAAAACAATACTTTTAAATAAAGAGGCAAATGACAGTGACAGAAGCAGAGTACATCAAATGTTTAAATCTTCTTCTTTTTACTTTACTACTTCATTTTTTTTTGTATCTAGCCTTTATAATATTTAGGCTATTCAAATTTTAATACGTGCTTAAACAGGTAATGCTAGTAATATAAAAATAGAGATAAATAAAAATATAAAGTAATAATAATTATAAAATAATATTAAAATAATGAATATAAAAAATATCGAAGATAGTTCTGTTATTGAACAAAATGGTTAATTTTACCGAAAGTACAAGCTGAATATAGCCTCAAATGTCAACAATGGAAAAATATTACGATTTGGCCAGTGATATGTAAGAGATTTGGCAAATTTTTATAATGTATACTTCATCTAATTTACTTACCATTGCACGTCATCCGCGTCATAGTCCGTAAGATCACATTATTGGCGAGGAACCACAAAGTGGGCAACGCCTGGTGGTAGATTTCAAAAGCATCAACTTCGGGAAAACTTTGAAATTGTCATTAATTTGTATACATATTAGCAACCGGTTTATATTGAAATTAACAATGACTTCGACTTCATAAAAACTGAGGAACGATGTTCCTCAATTTTCATCCTATTATAATTCACAAGAAAATTATTCCATACCTAAGTTTCCGCTGGACGAGAATATGAGAAATGTTTGGCAATGCATTTTGCGAATTGGCAAACCTATAACCAAGTACACAACTGTGTGCAATTTACATTTTACTGAGAACGATTACTTTCCAAGTGTTGATTAAAATATTATTTATATTTTAATATATTTATACTTAATTTACTTTATAGTAACTCCTGAAACTAAATTGAGAAGTCTCGGGAAAAAATGCTGTTCCATCAGCTAAATTATCCCAACGGTCTCATGAAGTTATTAGTAGAAAATGTAAGGCGTAATTTACAAAATATAACGTGGCCAGCTCCAAAAACTGCCTAACCCTCAACTAAAGATCACTACCGATCTTTCAACCATATAAATAATTAAGATAATGCAAATTTTACTTCCCGTGTTAGACATACTGTAGAAAAACAAACATTTAATTTTATTTTTATACAGGTTTGGAAGTCAATTACCTCATGTATAAACTCGAATCACAAACAAATAAACTTTGAATTGATTGAATGATTTATAGTTTTGTTCTCGGAGACAGTCCCTGACTAGTTTTGGATAAATTTCGGACCGATTTGGGAGTAACGTTGTGCGCTGGCGCGATTAGTTACTAGTTTTTAACAGCTATTTCTCCGCGAACGATTTACGGACATTTCTGACTGTTTCTAACCCCAAAACATCAACACGCTGTTTTGTTTATATGTACAAGGAGGAACACAGACGTTTGACAAAAATTTATTTTAAAGACGATATTGCTACATTGTCAAAATGTGTAAGTAAAAAATAGGGTACTAGCACAGAGTAATAAACAATTGTAATAATAAGCAATAATAAATAATAATAAATTTTTGTTTATTCTGCGGTGCTAGTGTAGTAAGACGGAACGATGTCTACGGAACGGAGATGAAATTGATATCAATGACCCTGAACGTCCAGAATTTCCTCTAAATCCTCATCGCTGGATGTAAAATGATCGCTTATCTATAAATAACATTCATTTTTTAATACTTATAAATATATATACTGTTTTTAGTTCCATATTTATAATGCAATAAAATATTAAATGACTTTTTTATATTTTTTAATTTATATCGCTAAAAAGATTTAGAGAATTTTAAAGAATAGAGAATAAAGATTATATTACCGCTTCTCAACAAAAATAAATAATAGGTTAGTTAGTATTAACGATTGACCAAAAAAAAAACAAACACAAAACCTGACAATTTACAGTTTCCATAGCGCTTGCGCTAACTAAAAATCCGCACTCTAATCCATGAAGTTATAAAATTCCCGAAGTTATCCTCCATCTTTGAAATCTTCAGTGCCCCCTGTCGGAATTTGCTTTCGCGAATAAAGAAAGTCTTCTTCTTTTTGCTGTATTGGGTAATATCCATGTAATATCCCAGGCCAGAGGCCAGGGTAATTTAATTTGCCTAGCTGATAAGTAAGAAAGTAATATCACAGTACAGGATTCTTTATAAAGCAATATTCTGCGCTGATATGCATTATGGATTATGACTTATATTATTTATCTATGGACTATGACTTTCTACTATTTATCTATGGACTATGACTATAGTTATGTGTAATCAATGACGTATAATATATGTGTAATGTGCAGAGATAACTAGGTGTCACGTTATGTGTATGTGGCAATGACGTATGATAAATTTAATAAGTTGATTATACGTCTACGTCACTACGTCATTGGTATGTGGTATGTGGTCGTGGCATCGTGCTCGTGGTCGTGGTCGCCTGGTCTTTGGTCTGGTCGTGGCATCGAGCAATAAGACAAAAGAGGGAATGTAAAGGTAGAAGGGGTAAACATATTGATAGACAGGAAGTGCCATCTTGAGAGGCCACTTTAGACAAGGATAGACAGTCTCTTTCCTTGTTTAAGAAGTCAAATTTAGTTTGGTTATGTTATTGTTTGTCCCAACTGTCACATGAAATTTTATTTATATTGAAGTTTTTTAACAATTATGTCACTTTTTAGACTATTATCGTTAATATTTAATTAAAACTTTCTAGTCTGAAAAATATTTTATAGCTATTGTTAACAAATGTTGGAAAATTTAAATTTAGCGCCTTTGCATTTCCGGATGTGTCCGCCATCAGAGGCCACTTTTTTGGTCTCCTTTTTATAACGATTAGATTCCCTCTTTTGTCTTATTGCTCGATGGGTCGTGGTCTGGTTCATGGTTCATCGTCCATCCATGTATGACTGGTCATTGGTCTGGTCCCGATAGGTAGACACATGTGGTTATGATTCATATTTTATTGGCATTGGGCATGTACGCATTGTTTATAGTAAAAAAAAATATTTTTTGAATAATTGTTAATATTTTTATTCAGTTTATTAGTTAGCTATGGATTTTAAAGTTGAATCTAAGGAAGAGTTTGTTGAATATAACGAAATATATTTAGTGAGTCAGTTATCAATGTCAACAGATATTAGATGAAGAATGAACCAGGAGATAAATCAGGTAAGAAAATAAAAATTAGTGAACAACGTGATGTAATTGAAATAAATTGGTATTTTATTTATTAGCAGTGGAAGTAAAATCTGAAATTAAGAAAGAATTTGCTCAAGACGACCAATGATATTTAGTCAGCTCACCATAGATCTTGGAGACATGATGACATGTAGAGTGAAATCCATGAAGATACCTTAGGTAAGAGAACATCAATCTATTTTGTTTCAGTTAGTAAGTTTCAATTAATGTACAGTTGTCATGATTATATAATTGGTTCACTGATCCCAGTTCCATGTTAATTTAGTATTTATGTTTAGCTACCTTGGTTAAATTGTAGCCTTGGTTTAGTTTACTGGAAATATGGAAATTACTATACAACTAAGTCTACATGTTCATTATCAATATTTGAACATAAAATATTCGCATGCAGTTTATTAACAAAATAAAATTGCACCAATTATCACAAGTTTATATCAATGAGTTCTGTTTCACTTATTGATTAATGTACAATGGTTTATGAATGCTCAAGGTTGATTTTTATATATTTTTCTTTGAAACTACAAGAAATGACAAAGCAACCTTTTCATAAGCTCTAGGAGGGTAATTTGCCTTATTAAGGATGAGTGGCAGTGGATGGTGAGTTGTCTACATTAAAGCTAAAAGAAAGCAACCTTTTAAAAAATCTTTAAAAATTTAAAACATATTTTATTGTTTTCCTTCATTTTATAATTTTGTACACTGTTATTGCGTTCTTTAAGCTTTAATATTGTTCGTAGACAACTCAGCATGCACTGTCACTCCACTTACCTAACAAAAAATACTGGTTTGTAGTGGGTTTAGGTTACATTAGGTTTAGCTTTTGGTTCTAAACTGCTACAAAAATCTCCTGAATGACGCTTTACTATATAATTAACAGTAATTATCAATTTTCCTTTTGTGAACTCAATATTTTCGTAGATACAGATAGAATAAGCAAATTATATATATTGATATTCTTTGAATCCTCTGAACTCTTGCTTTTCTCCAATTCTCTATAAGGAAGTAATTCACAATGAGTTTCCATTGCAGCAAAATATTGCAGTTCTCAGGTCTTTCTCACATAAATCGGTACCTACTCGATTCCATCATAAATTGATTAGAAATGTAAAAATATCGGTATAGTTTAAAGAAATAGACAGCATGAATTATTTCAAATAATTATTAATTTTCTTGTTTTGTAGAGAATAGATTTTGTCTGATGCTGTGATTCCACATACACACACACATTCATGCCGATATGAGTTGCTGATTCTGTCGATATGTGTTTAAATAGGTTTTTATCAGAAATAGTTAAGCTTTTTTGTTTGTTAGTCGAAAAGTGAAATCTATTGGTCACCATGAACTTAAAACATATTTATTTACGATTTGTCATATACTGATGTATAAATATATCAACTGTGTGTCACAAATTAGACAAATCAGATGGGACAGAATTGTAATTGTGTCCAACTGCACAAAAATGTATTATTTGTTTTAATATTGATAAAAATTTATTAGATTCAAATGAAATGAAGCAGAGTATTAATGTAAATGTGCACCATACATTTATAAAACTTTCAATTATGCGTTTTTTGTTTTTTTTTTACATAATGGTGTTTAATTACAAATGCAAAACAGTCGGAGCCATCATTTTGGTAGAAGACTTAGCTAATGCCATACATGAAGTAATCCTCTATGGGCAAAAACTTTGGAATGCAGCAGAAATGTTCAATATAAATTTGAGATGATTCACTTTCATGCCAAGAAAAAGGTCAGTCAATTGGTCATATTCATAAAATGAAAGTGGATATAACTCCGTAGTAGAGAATAGATAGATAGAGATACACCACCCCAAA